GAATTACAAAAGATATGTTAGGTATATATAAAATGATGTAGAAAATAATCAAAATTATGTTAAGAAAGTTTTTTTTATAGCTATATAAAATTTGTGTTAAAGATATGTCAATATATATATATTTTTTTTATAGTAATTATGTTGTATAACATTAGGGAATTATTTTTGTATAAAATTTGTTTTTTAATATAATTTCAAAAAAAAAAAACACTAAGGACACACCAGGTGATGACACATGTCATTGTTGGTGTGTCTTTTAGTACGTAGTATATAGTTATTGATTATGGGCCCGTTCACATTTATTTAATTTTAGTTCAGTTCAGTTCAACTCTGGTTCAGTTCAGTTAAGTTCAATTCAGTTCAGTTCAGTTCAGTTCAGTTCAGTTCCTAATTTCCCTCTCTCATAAAATATTCATTTCAGTTCAACTCCAATCAGTTCAGTTCAGATCATTTTAGTTCAGCTCCAATCAGTTCAGTTCAGTTCAACTCCAATCAGTTCAGTTCAGTTCAGCTCAGCTCAGTAAATGTGAACAGGCCCTATGACTCGGAAAAGATTGAAAATATTACATGTATTATCATTCTATTATGTTTAGGACTTTAAACCTATAATAATATAACATCTTATTGTGTTTAGGATTTATAAAATTATTACAAATTTACGTATACCTATAGTTAAAGTAAAATAGTAATCTAAGAAATTTAGAAAAAACAATTTTCTTATAATTTTTGTTATATATGTTAAATTGAAATAATGTACTCATAATTGACTAAAATATACGAAGTATCATAAATACATCTTGTTTTAAATCATTTTTTAAAATGAATTTTATGATGCAAAAATTATTAAAATTTATAGAATATATATGTATTGAAAGTTACGGAGTATATATTATATTTTATGTATGTGTAAGATTAAAATTTTATCGAAAAATATTAAAAAAAAAAATCAAATAACTTTTTATTGATCCTTAAAAAAAAACTATTTAATATTGGCAAGATTGCTTACATATCATCTAACGTGGTATGTTTATGCATTAGCGTGACACTTGGCGAAAATGTGGAATGTCAAGTGTTGATGTATCATGGTTTGACTACAGGACTTGGCTTTATATATTAGTTATATATTATAATAGATTACAAATGTCAAAATTATTGTTTGGGTGTGGAAGATTGAAGAAAAGTAAAAGTCAATTTATAATTCTTAGGGATTTTGGATTGAAAGGAAAATAATAATCTAAATCCTGATACCATATACTATGTATGTTACCAAATTTGAAATATTAACTAGGTTAATCCCGTGCGATGCACGGTTTAAATAATTATAAACTTACTTGTACGTGTAATATAAATATTTTAAGCAAAACATAATAAATCGTGATCGATCCCTTTAGTTAGATTAATTAAGCTAAAAAAATATTCTAATTAACTTCATCATTATAATAAATTTTTTAAAATGTCAGCATTCGTTTTTGATTCATTATAGAAAATTTGAAGAATTAATAGAGGGAAAATAATCCAAACTCTACTATCACTAATAAATTGTGTAATTAGCCATTTTAGTCATAAAAGCTTTTAGAAAAATGTATAATTAATCAATAAATTTTCAAATATTAGCTTTATTTTGAAAAGGAATATAGGGAGAATGATGTCACAAATAGTTTAGGAGGGAAACTTTTTATAAGAATGTGACACATGTACCATGTTAATGTCAACGGTAATTACTTTAATATTAGTTATAGATTATAGATAGATGGTTCAGTAAGAACTATTGAATGTTTTATTTGAAATAGCTTGTTAAAAAATTGAATTTTTTTTATTTTAAAAAGCCAAAAAAAAAAAGGATTTAGATTTAGAATGGGAAGTAATTAGTCTTGAATTGAATGCTTGATTCCATACCATGTGAATTATAGATTGAGTACACACACAACTACAACCTAATAACTTTAGACCTAATAACTTCAGTAAGACCCTGTTCTCTTCATAAAAGTAATTTCAGTTTAGTAAAAATAATTTCAGTTCCGTATGAATAAGACCAGACCCTGTTCACTTCACCTTTTAAATAAATATGCAGTAAAAATAATTAATAATTTGAGTTTAGTAAATAAATATAACTTCAGTTTAGTAAAAATTAGTAAATTTTAAGAAGAATTATAATTATGAATCAGTAAAGATAATTTCAGTTCAGCAAAGATAATTCCAATTCAGTAAATTAACTTTAGTTCAGTAAAAATAATTTAAGTTCACCGTTAATATTTTCTCAAAAAAAAAAAGAAAAAGGTTCACCAATAATAATTTCAAAGGTGAAGTGAATAGGACTAAGTTCGGTTGAGTAGGATTAAGTTCAATTCAATAAATTAAGTTCATTTAGTAAAAATAATCCAGTCTAGTAAAAATCAATAACTTTATAGAAGAACATAATATATAATCAATAAAAATAATTCCAGCTCTGTAAAATTAATTTCAGTTCATTAAGATTTAATTTTAATTCTAGTAAATCAACAAAACTAATTTCAAGTCACTAAAATAATTTTAGCTAACAAAAAATAAGGTGAGGAGAATAAGTCCTAAATCTAGGGAGAACTTTATTTTAAGAGGAATACATCAATATTTAGTATTGGAAAAAACGTGTGTGGATCAGGTTCATAACATTATTATAGTGGATATGAGGTTTATATCTATTAGTCGACGCTATGTTGAATATAGTAACCCTAATTTTAACAAAATGACTTTTTATTCAAACTTAGGGCCTGTTCTGATTGACTGAACTGAACTGAACTTATTAGAGATGAACTGAACTGAATTGAATATTTTATAAGAGAAGGAAATTAGGAGTTGAACTTAACTGAACTGAACTTATTAGAGTTGAACTGAACTGAACTTATTAGAGCTAAACTGAACTGAACTGAAAATAATTGTATCAAAACAGGCCCTTATTTGGATTTAGGGTTTGTTCTCATTGACTGAAATGAGCTGAACTAAACTGAACTTATTAGAGCTGAGCTAAACTGAATTGAACTGAATATTTAATAAGAGAAGGAAATTACTAAGAGTTGAACTGAATTGAACTGAAAATAATCGTATGAGAACATGCCTTTAGTTCACAATAATATTATTGTGGATATGAAGTCCACTCATGTCAGCTCACGTTGTTATGTTGAATAATTTTAGCTAATTCAGTGTAATTAATTTCAAGATAACAAAACTAATTTATGTTCATATAAAAAGTAATCTAAGTTCATCAACAAAAATAATTTTAGTTCGGTAAAAATAAGGTGCAGAGAACATAACACATATACATCTATTTACATTACTCCCTATGTCCCAAAATAATTGACATATTTAAACATTTTCAAATTCATATGTTATCGTTGGCCGTGATTTTTCAAAAATCATATTAGAAACAAATTTTATAATAATGAAATCAACAAGTTTCATTGTAGTGTCGCACAGTGCGCTAGGGTGCCACGTCAGCAAACAAGTAACCCCCACAAAAGTATTCCCTGACTGACTTAATAACCCCTGACCAAGTAACCTCTGACTAACCTAGTAACCCCTAGTAACCTTTAGCAACTCTTGACCCAGTAACCCCTGACCGACCTAATAACCCCCGACCTAGTAATCCTTGACCGACCTAGTAACCCCCGACCTAGTATCCCTTAACCGAGCTAGTAACCCCCGACCTAGTAACCCTTAACCCACACCCAAAATCCATCGTAACTACCACCAACACCAACCTTTCTCATCAGTCACCCTCAAAGCCTTAAACTCCCCCAACTCTTGTACCCGCTTCCCCACGCAACCAGTAACCATGCCACCACCAACTTCCGTACCACCAGCAACCACGCCCAAATCGAACAAATACCATGCCACCACCAACCTCCATACAACCAACAACTACGCCCAAATCCAACCAAACCCACAACCAAACCTTAAAAAAAATATCAGCAAGCCCAGATCCAACCAAATTTAACCCACAACCATATAAAAAAAAAAAAAATTAAATTGAACAAATACCTCAAAATTAATATTGGCTTCGAATTTCACTTCTAAAAAGGCCAAATTCGACCATAAAAACTATAGATCTAGAAGTTTCATGACTAAATTTGGCCTTAAAAACCTCTAGCTTGTTTTCCGGCGATGGAGTACAAAGAGCTCCATCCCTTATCCCCTACCACCGCCGCTCCATTTAGCTTGTTTGGGTGGGGACTAGAGAAGAAGAAAAGAGGAGAGAGGAGAAAGAGAAGAGAGCTCGAGGAAGGGGTGGGTTTGGGTGGGCTAAATGGAGCAGAAGAAAAGAGGAAAGAGAAAGAGGAGATAGAGAAGAGAGAAGAAAAATAATAATAATAAAAAAGTTATATTGTGGTTGGCCGTATGGTGCGGCCGGCTGCATATAAAACTTTGTATAAAGAAATATGGTGTTAAATAGGTACTCCGTGTATAACAATATTATTATACAAATATAATCAACTTTATTTTACAAATATACATAGTATTATTTTACAAACATTTAACCATAATGTATATCTTTCCTCCATTTTTTTTAGTTGATATCATCTGACTTTTACCCTATTCACAAACTACACTTTGACTAGTTTTTGTGATTTATAGCTACGATAATATAAGTCAATTGAGATCTTGTTTGAATCGTCTCAATGTATATTTTATTAATATTAACTTTTTATAGTTTTGCAATGTCGAGAATTATAGATATCAATTGTTAAAATAATGCGTTAATAAACGTGATAATAGAATAGTGTCAACTAAATAAAAACAAAGGTAGTATATGTCAAATTTGAATATAATTGTGAAAAAAACAAAACACATATTCCATTAACTTTTCCAATATGTTTATTATTCTAAGAAACCCTAATATTTAAAATTGTTAAATTGTTTTTCGTGGCACGGATTATATTAGCACGGGTAACTTAATATCGGAGTCGAGTTGGAAGTAGAGTAGCTTGGATAGCAAAAATTCAGGTATCTTCCTTCCATCCATCCGATCCTCGAGTTAGCCAGCAATTCCAGGTTAACCAAAACACACAAAAATCAATCATTTAATCTCGTTAAAAAACAAAAGAATCTTTTATTATATGAGTTTGATTCCAACCAAATCACTCTCTTCTACATCTGTTTTTATTAGCCCCTTTTCCTTAATCACAACAATTATATTAATAAACCCTTGATTTATTTTTAATTTATTTATTTTCGTTAACAAAAACAAATCCCAAATGAATTGAAATTCTCTCTTCTACACTATTTCCTCCTTTTCTTCTTCTTCCTCTTTCTTCCGTACAATCCTTAATTTTCTACTCTCTTTCTTTTTCTCTCTCCTCCAAAAACTTTGTGAATTTCCCTCACTTTTTCCCACCCCTTTTCAATTTTCTCCCTAATTCATCGATTTTTTCTGCAAATTTGCAAAACCCCATTTCAAGAAATCAAGAAATTTGACATCTTTATCATCTGGGTATTCGATTTTATGGCGGGAAATCGAGTTTTTGGGTGATTATAAAGTGGGAATTTGTCGAAATTTGTATTGAATTTGGTGGGAATGGCAGCAAGTGCAAACCCATCTGGGAATCAACACCACCAAGAACAATCCTCTTTCAATGGTGGTGGTCCCGCTGTATCCACAAGTAATGGGAATTCGGGTCCGGGTCATGATAATTCGGGTACGGGTTCTGCTATGAAGCATAATCCTGGAATTGCTACAGATTGGACTGCTGAGGAGCAAACAATCTTGGAAAATGGACTCACCCGGTTAGTTAATTCGTTTAATTTTTGTTTTTAAATTTTAATTTTTAATAATTTATTTGGTAGAATTATTATTCTTGGTTGTGAGAATCTTTCAAAGGCTATATTTTGAAAATGGTGCTTAAATGTTTAGTGTGTTTTTAGTAAAGATTCTGAATTGAGTTGGGGAATTTTGGTGCCACTTAGATTCTTTAAGTCTTGAATTCTTGGTGGAATTTTTGTTTTTGTTTGTGATGAATTTAATTATAATTTGCTATAGATTCGGATTTGAGTTGAGATTTTTTTTTTATCTTCTTTTTGGGTGTCCTTTGGTTTAGGAATTTAAGTGCCACTAATGAACAAATATTTTCTAATGAGCATACTGTTTGAAATGTAGTAAAGAATTAGCTCCATAGTTGTGTTTTTTATGTTATTTGAGTTGGGGTTTGGAGGCGAAACAAAGGTTTAGTTTGCTGAGTAGTGATTCGAATTCGCAGGGGCAATGTGTTGGTTTCTTGTTGGAATTATAATTTTGTGTGTTAAGACTTGCAATGCATAGTCTATAGAGTGGAAGTAACTAGGTCTTTGGAGCTAGTCATGATGAAAAGGAGGGTGGTTGGTTTTGGTTGTCTGGTAACTTTCCGAGGTTGTTCAATTGGTCTCTCGTACATTTGTGACGCTAATTTGCAATTATTAGTGTCCTAAATTTCCTTGTTTTTTTTATGCTGGGTGCTGTGCACAAACTAAATCCTCCTTTGCTTGATGCGTGCAGATATGCTTCAGTATCAAGCATTATTCGCTATGCTAAGGTTGCTATTGAGCTTCCAAATAAGACGGTCCGTGATGTGGCACTACGTGCTCGATGGATGAATGTAAGCCCTTGACATCTGTTTTAAAGCAAGATGGTAGATCTTATAATTTGATTTATAGCTTTTAGATAGCTGGTAGTTTCTATCTGCTCTTGATGCTGATATGAGCTTTCAGTAGTATTGTTTGTGGAAGGATTGCCTGTTTATCAATAATGTCAGGATCAATTTCAATTGGTTGTAGGGATAAGACTACATACTGACTTACTGAGGCATCATCACTTTCCAATTACCCTGATGCTGCCTTTTTCCAATTCCTTCTACAATAGTATGGTGGGTTGGATTTTTGTTTTTCAAACCTAGATCTGCAGATTTGGTACTACAAGAAATGTCAGAAGAGCTTTGATTGAATAGCTTTCCCTATAGGATCTGCTTGTAATCCGGTGGCAACTGTAGGAGAGGTGGAAACAGCTATCTTTTGTAGCTGTCTATAGGACCTGTATTTAAATATAGTGGATGTTAAGTAACGATCAGCCACTTTTTTTTAGTAAGTTTGGGAAGAGACCATAATATATCTTGATGGGGAGTAGGGAGCTAATTGTTACCTTTACTGAACGAAGTATTCCTTGCTGCCTTCTTATTGGTTCTTATATATTTGTAGAGAAAAGTTACATGTTTATATACAGAGTATTTTATTTTTGTTCTCTATTACCTAAGATTTCAGTGAATCACACAACTTTAATCGCTTTATGTCATTTGTTAAGATTTTTTTTTTCACGAGTTGACTCAACTTTATGCTTCATCAGTTCATCATTGTCGCCTATTTAGTGAAGGATATTTAACTCGTCTCTAAAGCTTGAATTTGCTTGTATGATTTATTTCTGTAGTCTTGAAAAACCTAATGGAATGTTAACTTGACTTTTTCTGTGACTGACTGGCATCAATACTTCCTCCACACCCCCTTTTCTGCATATGTATAGGAATTTGTGAATGTGTGTATCATCTATCATGAATTCGAGTGGGCGAGGCTAATACATTTTCTTAATTTCGAAGACAAAGCTTCAATATGGTTTGGACTTCTCATGTTGAATTTTCATTGTGGATTTGTCCCATACCCCTTTAATTATGTAAATATCTTTCTAGTTTATGTAAGATGATCTAACAAAAGTTATTGAATTAAGCAAGATATTGGCTGTCAGATTAATGCCATTGAAGTACACAGTCTTAAGAAGTATATTCCATTTGGGGGAGGGAGGGTTATGGATTAAGTTATCTGGATCAATAGTGACATGACTTTCTTGCTGACTTGACTTTCCAATTGATGTCCAGAAAAAGGAGATGAGCAAGAGAAGAAAAGATGATCATTCGCGGAAAAACAAAGATAAAAGGGTATGTTAGTTTAGATCTTGTTATGATCAATAACTAATGATCCACAGTTTTTGCTGCACGTTCATACATTGCTAATTTACTTTACAACTTCTGTCTTTCACTAACGTTCTTCCAAAATCCAGAAGCATAGCTTACTTATTTCATCTATGCATGAAATATGCAAAATTCTTTTCTCTTAGGCAAAGCCCTTTCATCAGTAAATTTCTTTCCGTGCAATTAAATGCTGCTTTCTTTTAATCTTTAACTCTATATTAGTTTTTTTTTTCCTTTTCTTCTATTAATGTTATTTTTCAATTGTTTGGTGCTATAACTCCTTTTATTTTCAATTTTTCTTCTCTTCCGTGCATAGTGCTCCGCCATTTACAAGAGAACACGGCACCGGATTTGTTCTTCTGATTGCAGTTATTCATTTAGGGTGTAAAATAATATTTAAAATCTAAACTATATACTGAATACTTCCAATGAAACATCGCCGTTTAGAATCTTTTAGAATATACTCTTCTCATACAGGAGACATAATAGTTAGTGAAAGTGTTGACTATAAGAAATTTTGAGGATGCTGATTGAACATAATGGCATTGCAGTTGTGTTGCAGCCTTGCAGGGTGAAGGGGAGGCTGTGTAATTTTTGATTTATGTAAGACTTGCCTTAGGTGGGAGTTGAACTAGTTTGATGTCTATTTTGATCTGAATGTACCACATAAAAGTTCTGGAGCTCCCTAAATCTCTATTGTTATATATGCCAAGAGATAGAGAGAATAAAAGATAGGCACCCATGCGATGAGGAGAGATATAGAGTGAAAGTATGTGTAAATAGGGAAATGTTGCAATATTTGTAAAACTTTCTAAAATAGTTATTGTTAATGTATGGGGATTGGATGAAGTATCTTTTTAAGTATCTTTACCTGCCTTGTTAGTTTGCTAGAATAATTTGGACTCTCATTATAATTTTATTAATAATAATCAATGAGAATCATTCTATCAGGGAGATTTACACAATCTTACATGGTATCATTCTCAAATTTCACCTAAAAACACAAATTTTATTGCATGGCTTTCACAATAACATGTTACTTGCATCGGTATTTAACAACGAATCTGATATGTGGGGAATAGCTTTGCCTTTACCTTCCTTCTTTTGAGTTGATGACTACCCCTCCCCCCTCTTTTATTTTATAATGAAGACAGGAGGATTTATTTGTTTGAGAGATGAAAAGTATGATTGTAAATGTTTTCGAGTTCTCTTTCTCGGGTCAAAATCTTAACAATCTTGTTACATTTCCTGAGCTGTAGAGTGCTAAATACCCTCGTCATGAGCTATTGTAAATGTTACTGAATTGTTGGAAGCTCTTAATGGTTCTATCTGTCTTTGTTGATAAAGGAAACTCCTTATGTCTTATTTACTGTTTGCAACTTCCACCTTCTTGGTGGCTTACTGGGTATTTGGATTATTTCTTTCTTATAAGTGGCTCCTTTAGTGTCTTAGACTGCAATCTACTTGTTACTGTTGGTATTTATTTTCTTTATCTTCATGTTACTCTTACTTTATTGATTGATTATATTTTATGAATGATGCTACTTGATATTTATGCTTTGAACTGTTCTTCCCTTCCCTTATGTTTCATTTTCACTGAACTATATTTTGCACTTTTCTCTGGTTTGATTGCATATTTCTGAGTTAATTTGCACTTTCAATACTATGCAATTCGGTGGGAAAGCAAACATGCAGCCTGGCGACAAAAATGCTTTTCATTGTTTTGTCTGTGATTTTTTTCTCTGTATAAAATGAAGAAGTCTATTGACCAATAATTGGTTTATGATATTTTTATCGCATGGTTGGCAATTTGGTTTTTAACATGTCCTGGGAAAAAAAAAAATTACCGTTTTCTCTATATCCTGTGACTCCTGTCTGTACATGGTTTCCCTGTCCAGCTCTTCTGATTTAGCATTTTTCCTTTCCCATCAATTTATGCTTAAATATGCACGACCTGTTTTGGCTATACTATAACTTGGATGAGTATTACATAATATCCAGGAGAAAGTCACTGAATCTTCGTCAAAGTCATCTCAGTTGCATGCATCAAGGCCTGGTGGTCATACTTATCCTGTGCCAGCAGTTCCATTAGATGATGAAGATGGTATTTCTTACAAAGGTAAAGTTATCTATATTGACCTACACACATTGCTTACTGATAAATGTATTATTCAGAAAACTATACAATACTCTTTTCTGTTTTTACTAGAATTATCAATTATGCGATATAGGCATACTGGTGACATATATCTTCTTTATGCAAAAGATGCGAGTATCTTGGGATGATTTTTATGTTAAGTTTTTTTTTTTTTGTTGTAACTTAAGTTTATTTTGATGCTGACCTAGGGCTTTTTTATGAATTTATTTCCTTTAACTAGTCAATCTCCATGCTTATGGCATGGACATTGGGCTAAGTAAGATTATTTTCCTTTTATCTCTAATTTTTGTGGCCGACTCTTGCAGCAATTGGTGGCCATGTTGGGGAGCTACTTGAGCAAAATAAACAGTTTTTCCAACAAATATCTAGCAACTTTACGTCGTTTCAGGTACACGTTTAACAATAAATTCTTTATATTAGGATAACCTTGCACGTCCATGTTGTTTACACTGTTGAAGGCTATTAATCTCATTTATGGTTTGGTTGATAAAACCTCTTATATAGGATGCAAGGTCTTGTATTAAAATCCTCAGAATTTGGGTTGGGGTTTTGGTTGTAAATTTTGTATACTGATGTGTGATGTTTATTTTATTTACTCAAGAAGAACTGCGCTCTAACAACCACTCGCGACACATTATACTGTTGGTGGCTAAGCTTGAATTTATTTGCCTTGTGCCTTTTCCGTTTCAGATACAGGAGAACGTTACCCTCTTTCGCCAGGCGTATGACAATATAAAAAAGCTCCTGAACAATAAGTAAGGCTTCAACCTATTTTTTTGCTTCTGCAGCTACTTACTTTTGTATGTACTACTTAGTATACTTTCTTACACTGTTTTAAACCGCTGGAGTAATGGTCAAATAATTGAAAGTAGTCTTCTTTCTTTCTTTACTTGGATCTAATCAACTCGTCTGTGCCTTTTTGAATCTAGTGGCAACGTGGACGACACTCCAGAAATAATGAGACAAATGCCTCAATTGCCGGTGAAGCTGAATGAAGAACTTACAATGGCCATCATCCCTGCTTCGAATCACTCAAAGCACTCATGATTGTTTATCAGCTCGACAAAAGTAGCCAGTTAAACCAGTTAGCAGATTACATCATCTTCCAGCCCCAGTGAAGGGAAAATAGGAAGCAAGCTAGCAAATCAAGTAGATGCTTTCTTCTGTTCATTACAATTTTACAAATGTGAAAATTTATAAGATTTTAGTTTTTTATTTATTTTTTTAATTCTTCTTCTTTACAACTTTCATTCTCAGTTTACATAGTTTGTGTAGTTGCCAATAGTAATATTATTGGATATTCTTGGAAGTTAGAAACTAGTATAATAATAAATTATCATGTAGGTCAATTTTTAGCCTATTATGTAATGTTAATTTTTTTTGGTAATTGTCTATTTTGAAATGTTAATAAGCATTATTTTTCAGTCCCTTTGTAAGTCTTGTTTTGTAAAGAAACTTAGAATTTGCTGATGCATTCTTCTCAGTTGGTATGCAAGATCTTGATGCGAGTTTGTGTAGCGAAAAATAAGAATCTGTGACTTCCGTTTTCTTTGATCAATCTTCTCTTCAGTTCAGTTCTCATACTAACAGGTACGACACTGTGTCCGAAGAGCTTCCATGAATGGTGGCTAGGGAAGCAGTAACAACATAAACCTTGGACATGGCGTTCAAATCTAGTATTTTTCCAAGATTTGTATGGTAATTTTGAGATTCTTGACATCTTTAATATTTTTTTTTTCAACAGGGCTAACAAAAAAACACAACACATAAACCTAAGCAAAAAAACTAAAACACAAAATACAGTAAGTGGCGACAACGAGCACAACCCGCCAACTAGCGAGCTGGAGACACCCAGGAACGAGGAACCTTACGAACTTGACAAACCAGGAGACTCTGAATAGAAACCCATAATTCCTGAATGAGCCAGAAAATCGAAATGTCCATATTCCCCTTACGAGGAAGGACAACCAACATAGCAGCACAATCCGTGTATATACAAATTTTCAAAAAAACCCTTACGCATAGCATACTCCAAACCCCATAAACAAGCATGTAACTCCGTCTGCAACGCCGAGGTGGCAAAAAAAACACGACATCCACCCCCAAGTACCTCTGAAGAATCAATCTCCCGAATTATCCAACCTGCACCTACTCTTTTTGATAAACAATCCCAAGCACCATGTAGCTTATACACTCTCCCTTGATTATATTGTAACTGTTTTCCTAACAAAGTTAGCCAACACAAAAACTTATGTGCCTGGCTTGTTAGTCAGTTAGTGTAATAGGAGTTATTTGGTCAGTGTTAAGGGTTTATTTCGTCAGTGTTATAGGGGTTATTTAGTCAGTATTACAAGGGTTATTGGTTAGTGTTATAAGGGAATTTTTTTATATAAATGGTCATATGGTGTGGCAAGATAGGCTGGTTAGTCAATTATCTTATCATTTTCTTCACATTTCGTTGCCAGAAAGGTGGGGTGTTGCCGTATTGGTTGAAGAAGCTATGTACATGTGTTGGAAATTTAGATTTTTTAAGAATTGTTTGTAAGTACTATTTGACTATATTTTGTTAATAATTTTTTTTTCAGATTTTTTTGTAATAACCCATATATTTAGATATTTTCCAACGTGAAAAGGTTTCTTTCAAAGTATGAAAAACAAGAAACGTTTGTTTAAGCAATCAAGTGGTTATTGGCCCAATAGGAGTATGGAACAATTTAGGCCACCGATTTGCTACAAACAGTGGTACAAGTTGAGTTTTCAACAACATATCTTTGAAGTCGTTCTCAAAAGATTGTTATTAATGAAGCCCGTAAACAAATACTTTTCTGTTTTACTACTATTAGTTAGGGTTGTTCACTTCAACTTAATTTCACTTCAGTTTAGCTTCAATCAGTTCAGCTCAGTTCAGTAAATGTGAACAGACCCTTAGTTGACACGATTTCTATGTTACATTTGTTAATGCATAAGTTACCTCATTTCAATGACCAAAATCTCTAATTAATAAAATTATACTCCCTCCGTCCCTAAATTACATTCCTATTTCTAGCATTTATTCCTCAGTTAATAAAAGAAAGTAGGAATGTAATTTAGGGACGGATGGAGTACTTAAAATTATGAAAAGTTCACTCATTTTCCAGCCTATAAAATACTTATTTTGAAATGCCCAAGAGAAAAGAAGATGGTTAGGTTTTTCAAATAGTTATGGTTTTTGTGCTTAACCAATATTATATGAGTATTTGATTTAAACATATGCTAAATATGAAGTAGTTTTATCAATCTTGATGTTTTTGATGTAAAATTTTGAGTAAGCCCAGTTTATTTCACCTTTAAAAAAATATTTAGTAAAATTAATTTCAGTTCAATAAAATCAATTTCACTTCAGTAGAAATAAGTTCAATTCATCAAAAATAATTCAGTTCATCAAAATAATTCAGTTCAGTAACAATAATTTTAGTTCAATAAAAATCAATAAATTTAAAGAAGAAATAGTGAAATACAATAGAAAATCAGTAGAAATAATTTCAGTTCAACAAAAATAATTTCAATTCAGTAAAATTAATTTCAGTTAGAAAAAATAAGGTGAAGTGAACGTGGCCTAACACTGTCTTTCGGTTAGCAAAAATAAGGGCATGTTCACATTTGCTGAACTGAACTGATTGGAGCTGAATTGATTAGAGCTGAACTGAACTGATTGGAGCTGAACTGAACTGAACTGAAATTAAGTAAATGTGAACAGACCCTAATTACATAAAATTAATAACGGGTTATGGAGAAATTAAATATCTTAAGTATGAGTATGTACTTGTAACATTTGATCCCACGAGTGTAAGAAATAGCTTTATTAATACAATAAAGATTATCGACCATGGTGGATTGTATGTAAAATTAGTTAAATAAAGAGATTGGAAAAAAAGGCCTAAAATAGGATTTCTAGAAATATAGTATAGTAGTCAACTCATCATCTTATTTTCTCTTAGACATCCCACAAATATAGGATTAACTAGATTTAAGATTTACCCCAAATTCTTCTAATTTTGTGCCGAAAAAATTGGTAATTCACTTGATCTTTAAGACATTGTTTTATTAAAATTATTATAACAAAGGGATTTAATTCATTTTATTTGATAATAACATATAGAGTAAACAATTAATAATAATAAGGAATAAACACACCCAAAAAAATGTTGAAAACAAAGAAAAATGTTAAGGTAATTTTGTTAATGGTAGCAATAATGTTGATAATGATTGGCATTGTTGCGGCTAAATGCAAAAATGAGGGTGATGTTTGTTTCTTTGCTCATGGATGTTGTCATCCCTACAAATGTAACAGTGTTATTGCTGGGTTATGCCTTGAAGAAGGTAAACCAGATCCTGGAGCTTTTAACTGAACACTATCATTTATTTTCATGTCAAAAAAACATAAATAAAATGTGTTTGAATTTGTAGTTGTATATTTGTTTTCTATTACGGAGTATTTTGTATGGTGAGATATACGAAACATTTGTATAATGATAAAGCGCACACTACTTTTAAAAGTGTATGTGTAATTTACATCGTTGTAATTGTGTACTCCGTGTAAAATATCACTGGTACAATTAGAAAGACATCATTATGTATGCAGGGTTGGTAAGATATAGGTTGACAATGTCCACCTCTAGCCTCTTCTAATTTAATGTGACAAATTAATCCTATAACTCTAGTTTATTTTCCATCATTATTGTTTATGATGCTTCATTTTTTTTTCCTTATTTAATGCGTCGACAAATTAACCTTATAACTTATGTAACTTGTGCACACAACTGGACATTAGTCTCTATATAACTCCGGATCCGATAATTGTTGGTTTACTAGCTTAATTCCAATATATTGAATAACAAGATCACCATGTCTTTTGCACTAAAGCACAAAATGATATTCAACTTTGATGTGTTTATTGCGTTGAATGATCAAATTTACAACAAAACAAGTGGTAGAAATATTGTGACAGATGCTCGGGACAAATTTAACTTCGCAACAATGGAAAACGAACCATGATGTTTTGGCAATATTATAAGCCAAATAGCTTAATATTATGCCTATGAAAAACTTATTGGACACAATTGTTTGTTTGTTTGAGCAACAAGCTAAAAGTTAGATTTGAGCAGTCAAAGATCACATAACCTATTGTAATAAGCCGAGAACTATTAATTACTTCCAAATTTACTTATAACATTTTGACTGGACACGCTTGCAAATGCACATGTTTGACCGTTGATATCTTTTATTATATATTTAAATAATTATAAAAGTTTATATTAAGAAACTATACATTAAATAGGCCCAACAACATTTTACATGATTACATTGACTTTCATATAATAGTAAAAAAAAATGATCATAGTAAGATGTGTAAATAGTGTAAAAAGTCAAACCGTTGCGAGTAATTTGGAACGAAGAGAGTAAGATATTGTAACACTATGTGGCGAATCTTGAACCAAAAAGTATGTGGGAAGGGGGTAAAGTACAAACTTAACCATTGAATTCATATTTAAGACTATTTTTTTAAAAAAAAAACAACCCCTATATATTTTGGTCTAAACTTTAACAACACCCGATTAATGGGGTTCATGCTAAGTCTAGCCGAGAGGTAGTTATCTTTGACTAGGTTCACACTTCTTAAAAAAAAAACAAAAAATAAAATAAATGGTTTTTGACTTAACGAGCAAGAAAATAGACTAAATTATCAATAATCATACTTGTAATTAGCCCTTAATGTTAGCTACACTTTTTGACAAACCTCAAAAGTGATACCCAATTTCCATTTAAATACATAAAGTGTTATCCAAAGACCAATACCCTTAAGACATAATAATTGTCTATATTAGTCCCATTTATGTATTAGTGTCCTTATAAATCCAAACATATACAAGTATCAACCCCACTTAATTGAATATTTAGGTAATCTTACTAGATATAGAAGTTAATCTATCTCATGTTAATTTATTGCGAGATATTCCAATTTAACCCCAAAAAATTTAACAAGTCACCCTTAATCTTGAATATTAAATATTAATTTTTCAAATTGGTTGATCTATAGCAACAAGTTAATGTAAAAAAATTTCCATGAATAAAAAAAAAAATCAAGAGATTAAACGCGTGATGTTTAATTATCGTCTATATTTTCCTAACACTATTTAATAAAGTTCTTTGAAATGAGCAATCCACCTTATAGCACAAGGTACAAGTCTTACTTTATTATGATAACTAGATATTCCATTCCTATAATCCTATAACAAGTGTAATAGTTAGTGGTAATATTTGACAAAAGCTTGCTAAAGTAATCATAGCCCTAGAAATCAAAGTATGACTCGGAAGGCTTTGCTTTAGGAGTCCTTTTCATAGCCAAAAGATTAATCACACTTACACATTAATAATACATAATTAACTATTAACAATTACACTTATATTGTCCTAATACATCACAAATTAAAGTGTTGCAGTTGAGTCCAAAACCCTCACCTATTGCTTTTACTTGTTTTCGTACATGATTGCACATTGCTTCAAATCCGATAACGTTTTTTTTTTGGTCGAAAACTCGAGATTGGGTTAGTCTTAAGTGTACTTTCGTAATTAACTTTCAGCTAATGATCTTTCAAATTAGCAAAAACTAATCAAATTTAGAAGATAATTTCTGGGACATTTTGTGAGAAACTACCTTTTAAAGCATTTTTTTTTTTGCGAGAAACTACCTTATAAAAAAAATGTTGTAAAAAACTACCTTATAAAAGCTAAATGTTGTAAGATACTGCCCTTGGTCAGAAAGTGAGAGTTGACTTAATTTTTCTGGCGTTGACCTAGTCATGTGCCAGTCACGTGACGTTTAATTCATCTTTCCCCATTTCCCCCTAATTTTTCCCCAGCCTATCCATATAATACCCAAAATGAATTAAATGTCATGTGACCGGCACATGACTTGGTCAACGCCGGAAAAATTTAGTCAACTGTCACTTTCCGACCAAGGGGTAGTATCTTACCACATTTAGCTTTTATAAGGTAGTTTATTACAACATTTTTTTTATAAGGTAGTTTCTCGCAAAAAAATTGCTTTAAAAGGTAGTTTTCACAAAATGTCCTAATTTCTGCCTACCTTAACTCTTAAGATAATTAAACTACATGCTTTTCTTGATTTTAGACATCTTTTTCACCCTTTTTACTTTAACTTTTTATTTTATTTTAATGTAATAATTGTTTGGTCAATTAGTGGGGGGATTAGATGAGATGAAAAACAAAATATTTATGCTTTACTTGTACAGAAGTCATTCTCTGCACTTGATGATTCACTCTTCTTTTCTTCCCTTTTGTTTTGGGTGGGGAAGAGAGTGTCCTTTACTTTTTGGGATCCTCTAGTTTAAGAACTAGTATGTGTGGATTAAGCTAAGGAAGAGCTTTTTCTAGCGAAACCGCGCTTTTTACGACGAGTTTAGATAAAAGGCCAACATTCCTTTCTCTTTGAACTAACACTGCTGCTGCTTCTTTAAAAAAAAGTTCCCCTGTTTCTATCTATGCCTTTATAAAACTTGTGTACAACTTCAGATCATTCTCAAGTACTCAACTCTCTGTTTGTCTCTCTTTCTCTCTGCAGGATTGGCGAACCACGAAAGTTGATGAGTTTCATCTCTGTATGTACTTAAATGGTTTTCATATCTGTATGTACTTGAATAGTTTCATCTGAATAAATTGGTGTGCGCGATGTTTTAAGGGCAGGTTGACAATCTAGAGGGGGAAGATGGGTACAGCGCAGATGCAGTGTCTGCAAACGAGCTGGGTTGTGTTTGCAATTCTTGCATTGATCATCAGCTCAAAGTTGGGTGTTTCTGAAGCTCAACTCTTATCGAACAGTAATGAACCAGGTACATATTGCTGAAATTATTGCCTTCTATTACTGTAATAACCTGCTGAGAATTAAACTTCCACGATTAATAAAGAATATGCAAAGCATGATATTAGAATTTACATGAATTTTCTCCTCAAAAATAAAATTTAATCAGCAATAGTACAGAGGAAACAAAATTAGGAGACATGATTTTGTAACAAACATAGCATTAGTTAACAATTAGCCATACAATATGCAATGGCGGGACTCAAGGGGTGTACAAGGTTTGTAACAAATATACTAATTAGCGATCATGGTTCATACAGGGAGTACATCGGTGCCAATGCTAGATCCCTTCAGCCGTACCACATACAAACCAAAAGATATAGTACGGGTAGATCCACTGGAACAATTCAGCAACTACAGAGGAGGCTATAACATCACAAACATCCATTATTGGAGTGTAAGCCCACCATCTCTTTCTATAATAACTCTATTAACTAAGTTCATATATTAAAAAGTTAACATTTGTCTAACATAGCAACTTGTTTTCAGTCGACTTTATTTACTGGAATTTATGGATATGCAATCGGACTGTTATGGCTTATCACAGGCATTGTGTATGCCATATATCTACTAACAGCTTCTTGCTGTAGAAGTACAAGCAAGAACCAACAGCTGAAAAACAGAACACCATGTCACAAGCCGTGTTATCTCTTCCCTCTCATCTTCACCACATTTTTTGCTATCCTAGCAATGTAAGCCCTAAAAACATTACCATATTGCAAACTACGAAATATATGCCAAAATCCAAATGCATATGATAAGTACATTCCTATGTCGTGTTAATGATATAGAAATATAATTTCAGAATTGCATCTGGGGTGGCTCTGGAAGGAAACATGAGATTTCATTCTGAAGCAAACACAATTATGAGAGTTATAATCCACACTGCAGATCAGGCATCCAATACCATATACAACGCCACAGGACCGATGAGAAAGATTGGTGCAAACTTACAGCAACAAGCAATGGATAGTATTGGTGGAGTGGATGGGGCTGATACTACAGATATGGCTGCAGCGGCTAGCTTCTTGGCTTCGACATCTGACAAGCTCGATTATGCAGCAACTGGCATAAAGAAACAAGCTCAGAAAAATAGGCTCTTAGTAGAGAAGGGTCTGACAATATTGTACGTAATATATTCCTTTGTATTTCCCTTGCCCCTAAATTCCTTTTACAGTCTCTCTCTCTCGCTCAGTTTTCTTATCCACATGAGCTTGATTGCAGGTATATCTTGACCATCGTCACCATATCCATAAACCTAGCTGCTGTGATAGCTCTTACAGGTAACTGCTTCAGATCATATAAATACGTAGTTTACAGAAAATGACAGCTTAGAATCACACTTCGTTGGAAATAAAGATAATGTCAAAACTCTATTCTTCTAATCATCTGACAATAACTTGTCTTCAACTTGCAGTTTTTGGTATACTGAGATTTCGACGAGTACTATACATGTAACTACATCAAACCTCTAAAATAACCCAAGTTGTTGAAACAACAAATTTAGCAGTACCAGAAAGTGCTTACTGGTTCTTTAAATTTCTGCAGGCTAGTCGTATTCTGCTGGATTCTAACAACCCTCTGCTGGCTATTCTTTGGGGCATATTTCTTCCTTGAAAAGTAAATTTCCACTCTTCTAATTGATTATCAAATCTCAATACCTGTAGCTAAGTGAAGATCCCATAACCTAAAGCAGAGTCAATAATTAAATAACTATGCAGGTTTTCCTCCGACACATGCCAAGCTCTTCAAGACTTCCAACAAAACCCAGATAACAGTAGCTTAAGCTCAATCCTTCCTTGTGATGAATTTCTTTCAGCAAGAACCGCATTATCTGATGTTGGCATCGGAGTCTATGAAATTGTTGACCAGGTAATACATAATATATTGAGATGATACCATACAATCAGTGATGCTCATCACCTTTTTCATAAAATCAAGTAGCACCTGCAATGCCAACTAACTCGTTAAAGTTCAGCTAGACACCATTAATCCTGTACATATTTTATGACAGGTGAACACAAATATCTCTCTTATGAGGAGTTCTTCGTTCCCAAGTCTCCAATACGTATGCAACCCTTTCTCTGGACCACCTGATTTTACGTATCAACCAGGAAACTGTGCATCTGACACAATTAAAATAGGAGATAATCCACAGGTATGCCAAGAATTATTAACACCACTACACAAGAATGCAAATACTTCAATAATTGGTGGGCTAAAAAAAGCCTCATTTTTGCAGGTGCTGAAGATGTTCACTTGTTCAGACACCAGCGGGATAAGTTGCCAGGGAGGAATTATAACCGGCAGTGTTTACAATGTCATAGAAGCTTACTCAACTTCTATACAAAATCTGCTAAATGCATACCCAGATATGGAGAATCTAGTAGATTGCCAGCTTGTAAAACATGCATCCTCAAGGATCCTAGTCAAACACTGCAAACCATTGAAGAGCTACGCACAGACAACCTGGGTAGCAATGCTGGTACTTTCAGTGGTTATGGTGATCTTGGTCCCAATATGGGCAACTACTGGTTATCATGAACGAAAACATCATTTTGCAGATGGTTCCATACAGCCAAATACCACAGATGCAAATAATCTGGATCCTGAAGCAGCTAAAGCAACTATTGAACACCAAATCCAGTAGTATAATTGAGATATAGCCACATAAAGCAAGAGAATTAAGGCTCTGCAATAATATAAGAGTACGAGAGTAGGGATGCCTGGAAGAAGAAAGCAATACAGGAACTCCTACACACAGACAGGCTAGAAAAACTGGAAAAGTAACCCAACGGCACCAAGCTCTCCAAGTAATTATAGACTTATAGCGTTGGAGAGAACTAAAACACACTATTTACGTCTTTAGCATAGCCTGACAACCAACATTTTTGTTCAGAAGAAGTGAACAACAATATTTTTTATAATGATTGTTGATAGATTACAATATTATAATGTACATATAATACTGGGACCAACCCCATGAAAGGAACACAATGTGTTGTAATTGTATTTTGTAACACTATATTCAAGAAACTACACAACTTTTATAGTGAAAATAGCCTGTCAAAGAAGAAAAAAAGGAAAATTAAGATAGGCTCTGTTTTTTGGGAGGGGGGGGGGGGGGGGGGGGGGGGGGGGGGGGGAGGATCGAAGCCACACCACAATGCATAATCTGGCGGCAAGAAAAATTAACCCAATAAACTGTGTGGTGCAAATATGTATGAGGATTAACTATGAAACATTCAAAAGTAAGTAAGAAAGACAAGATACAGAAGCACAGAAAGAGAAAATGCATTGGAGTAGCTGCATAGAACACAGGTTATCAATGACACAAGGATTGTAGAATTATGAGCGCAGAACGAAGCACACTTATTGTACAATATTTGAGAGACAGACAGCTTCTATACTCTTGAGTAGAATTACAAGTATATCGCTCAGAAAAAGAGAATAGCATATTATCTGCTAATAATAGAAAGTTAAGCAAGAGAAAAAAGTACTCGCAACTTGCAATAAAGATCTAGAAAGGTCAAGTACTTACAATATCTTGTTGTAGATCAGAACAGAGAAAAATTTAGAATGTTTAATAAAGTAATACTTATTCTTATACTCAATAAGGGGTATCAATTATCACACTTGATCAACCAGAGAAGAAAAAAAAAAGAGAAGAGAAAAACTAGAGTAGACACTGATAGAAAAAATTGTGCCATGTATATAAATCATGAGAAAGATTTTCTCAATAGAAATATAACAAAGAAGTTACAAGGAGCCAGCTGTAGATTTCATTAATTCCACGAAGACAAAGTAGCTATGCTGTAAAACCTCAAGCTAACAATTCAGGTCGAACTACCTCCATCCTGCAAAATAGGTGCAATAGGTAATGAGTATGTTGTCCAAACACCCTGTTTTCTGTTGAGCTGCAGTTATGGGCAAGGGGTTCCCAAAAAAAAAGTATTGCAGTGAACATAATTCAAGCACAATGGCCAATTATAGAGCCCCAATAAGGATCCTCGTCATAGGAAAGACTTAAGATTTGGATCCAACTATAAACAAAATTCCAAAGCAAGCTATGTCTAAGCAAATATGTCTGACTTCAATAGAAAGCAAAGGTAGCAGGAATCTTTTTAAGTATAAATTACATACACCCCATATACTCATCCAAACGAATAAGCATATCCTTTTCAGAAATTCAGAGCCCATCAAAGAGTAGGAACATGTTTTATCATTTACTGAACCCTCACTTATTAGAAGTTTAGAACATCTCTGCAATCACTTACCCTATAACCCAAGAATATCTTTTATACATCATTGGAATCATTGGAATTTAATTAAATCTGATAATCCAAATCAATAATATCTTTGCCTCAACGACCTCTGGGATGGTGACGATCTCTATATGTACGCTTTTTCATACTAGATTCCTACTTTTGTGAGCGACCCCAACACCCTTAACATTTGTTGCTTTAATGTAACAAACCAACAAGGAAAACCTAAGTGCCAGGATTAGACAACCTAGAGATAAACCAATATTTAATCAATTAATCTTCATCTTCTTCACAAAGCATACACTTGCTTGCTTTATATAAGCTGCTTCTAGAAGTTAATCATCGGAGACGCATCATCTAAATGGAAGCTACCATTGACAAAAGACATTAAGAGTATAGATTTGGTCCTCTAAACAGCCTAAGTAGTAAAGGATAGGAAAACTTCGATGTTCAAAGCTATGGAGTTACTACCTCATGCCTGCTGAGCCACTACTCCTTAGTTCTCACTCGACACCACAACATGCTTTCATTTCTCAAGTAAAAAGTCTATGACACCTCCCAATTTTGCTACACTATACCACATTCTTGTAATCCACTACAATCACTTAAAATTATATACCAACAGAAAATAATCGACACGACAAATGTGACAAGACTGACAACCACAAAAGAAAGCTAATCTCAACCATAGTCCACAATATATGCCAACAACCAATACATAATTTCTACTTCCATTAATATAAAAGCAGCTCGTCGCATCACAAATTTACAGCAAATTTACAAAAACATCTCCATGTAAGTATGTAACACAAGTAAATTATACTCATACAAACCTTAATTCATATCATTTCACAGAACCCCAAAATTCATGCATAATCCAATAATAAAGACAATGCATACACCAATATTACAACTTCCACTCACATAAATTAAAAATTTCTACTCTATCAAAGATATAACCAAAAAATTTCAAAAAAGTACCTGAGCATTTGAATGATGAGGAACAGATTCAAGAGTAGAAACCCTAGCTTCAAGAGCGCCAAAATTGTCCTTCAACTGCAAATTCAAACGAAAAACAACAAATTTGAAATCAAAATTAAAATCTAAAAGCAAATAGAAAACCCTAAGTAAAATGCATGAAATCAAAGCGAAGAAAAATTGGAAGTTGAAATTGGGAGAAAATACTTGATTGACGAGAAGGTAGCGATCTTTGAAGAGGTCACGATGAAGGTAGTAAGCAATGGTGCCGCCGGTGAAGAGAGCGCCGGAAGTGAACCATAACAGCCGTGTTCTCATCATTTTCCGATCAAATTGCTTTTAATCCTTAAAAAGGAATATTTTTGTCTAAATGTAAATTAGAAAGTCAATTTGGAGAAATTTGTAATTTTAAGGTGAGTTAAAACAAGTAAGGGTAACGGCTCCGAACCCAAAACCGTGAATCTCCCGGACTGTTAGTTTTTGTTCTTCATTTGATGATTAAAGTGAGGGGTTTCAAACCAAAATTTATCCGCTATCGTTATACTTATCCGCTATCGTTATTGTTTATGTTTTTTTTAATTATTATTTAATCATAATTACAACATTTAGCTCAACCATACAAGTATAAATTAGCGTTTTACACCTGAAATGAACTTACTAGACCTAATTAATTACACATTGTTTTTCCATCTAAATTAGGATCAGACTTGAACCGACCTAGGACTTTTTTTTTTAAGACTATTTGTGATTGCTAGATTCGTAATAGTGTGTATTTTTTTTAGTAGGTAATTTTCATAAATTTTGTTCATTACGAAAGTAAAGATAATTAGCAATAAAAGCCGCATAATAAAGCAATAAAGAGTGATCCTCAAACTTATTTTTTCTAATCTAATTTAAAATACTCGTAAGTAAAAACAACGTGATCTAAGCACAATCTAATTAGGTCACGTTCTCTTCACTTTATTTTTGCCGATATAAAATCATTTTCACATATTAAAACTTATATTTGTTGATCTTTATTACTCGTATATTTGTTTTATAAAATATTGAAGATGAGGAGTATGATCAATTATTTCCACCCTGAGCTGTGTGTGCCATCTCATCAAGTTAGTTTATAACTAACTCTTTCTGGAAGTTTCTGCTGTAACAAACTCAGGCACGAGTTTGTTGTGAGTGCTGACCTCATTTCTTTTTGTAATAGACTAGTACTATATATGTTTGTTCTCTGAGATCATGCTTTTGTAATGCTGATAATATTCTTCTTTCTGATTTTTCCCTTAATACATTTTCTCTCATATTTCTCTCTCTAAACTTCTTGTTCAACAAGTTTTCTGCATATTTCTTCAAATTTCATCATGGTATCAGAGCTACTGATCGATTCTTCGGTGCAATTTTAGTTCAATTTCTCCAGTTTCAGGCATTAATTCTTCATCTTCTCCTGTTTTTGGTTCGATTTCTCTGTTTTCTTCTCTATTTTGGTTCTGCATTGTTCTTTTGTTTCTGGATTTCTGTGTTTCTTTGCGATTGCGCTTGATTGATTATGGCTGGAAATACTCTATCTCTTAACTCCTGCAAATGTATATTTTTTGCATGTATATTAGAATGTATATTTTTTGCATCCTTCTGAAAATCCTGCAAATCCTCTTGTTTCTGTTAAATTCAATGGTGATTGTTATAATGATGAGTGGCAACGAGGTATGATCATTGCCTTTGCAGCTAAGAATAAGCTTGGATTTATTGATGGAACCTTACCTAGACCACCTGCTACTGATTTGCTTGAGTCTCAAGCTTGGGATAGGAGCAATGCGATGATAATTGCTTATATTTTGAACTCTCTAGATTCTGGAATTGCCAGAAGTGTTCTATATTTTAGCACAGCTAGAGAGATCTGGAAGGATCTTGAGGATCGTTATTCTCAGAGTTCAGGTGCTCAGTTGTATTCATTACAACAAAATATGCATGATATGAGTCAAGGATCTAATAGTATTGCAGAGTTTTTCACTAGCATCAAAGCAATTTGGGATCAGATCTCAGGAATTAATCCTATTCCTTCATGTACTTGTGGCAAGTGGAGAAGTAGAGAAATGTTAGTATGCTTGTTGATAATCAACATCAAGCCAATACTATGGCATTTGCAATTGACAGTAGGAGATTTGATTCTTCATCAGGCTCTAGACCTGGTGTTCCCAAGTATCAGTCACCTAATACTTGGAATAGAAATTCTTCTACATCTTTTCAGCAAGGTTATAACAATAACCTTGGGAGGGGCACATCATCTGGCCAGAGAAGATTTTCTTCTTCTCTTTTCTGTGATTACTGCAAAATGCCTAGACACACTGTTGATAGATGCTTTAAAATCATTGGATATCCTAGCTCTAATTCAGCTACTAAGAACAAAGGGAAGAAAATAGCAGCAATTGTTTACAGTGATGATGCAGATGATGATTCTTGATTAGGGGATTTTTATCCACCAATCACCGTCTGACAAGTGGACCAACCAGGTTCCGCCACGTGTTCTTCACGAAGGCCAACAGGAACCTGCCACGTGTCAATCACAGATACGTCCTCCACGGACCACTTAAGACACGCCACGTGTCCACCCATGCCAAATGGGACAACCGGCCATCAAGGCCCAATTCAGTCTAGAGGCCCGATCAGCCCTAGGTTTACCTTAAACCTAGAGAGTTGCACGCTTCCCAAGGCTATAAATACCCGATTAATCCTCATTAATCAGGAATCGAATAATTAAGAGATCAAGCAGAGAAGAGCAGACTTATTAACAACCGGCTAATCTCGCTAACAACGCAGACTACCAACACTAAGCACTCTCATCTAGAGAGATCTCATTACTTTAATTTCTGTATTGATTACTCCTTAATCGGGTACTAACTTGACCGTTGGAGGCGGAGCTCTCAGGAGTCTCCGTTATTTTGCAGGTACAGGCGTCCGGTTCCAGTCTCGGAATTGTAACTCTCCCGCAGGACATCGGAAAACCCCGAAACATTTGGCGCCGTCTGTGGGGAGAGTACTTCAGAGATGGCATCCAAGTCTGTACCGACTCCAGAAGAGAGGCGTCCCCTAGACGACCCTCAAGTTCAGTCGGACCATGATACCGAAAGTGAATTTGAAGTTGAAACTCATACAGCTCCAGACGGGACCCTAAGGGCCCGACGTACCCGTCATACCGAAATGAGGGAACGGGAGTATCTTCAAACAGGAAGCGAGCCAGCAGGCGCACCGCTTGCTCGGCAACAGCCGACTGATGGGTCTGCTCCCATCACAAGGAACGAACTCATGACCTTCATGAGGGACTTCAAGGGAGAGATCCAAGAGTTGATCAACAAAAAACCGCCTGCTTCAGTCAAAGAGCAGTCGGCCAAAAAACCTTCCACTTCACTGAAGAGGAAGCCAGTTCAAGGGCGAGAGGCGACTCCCCATCCTAAATCCAAGAAGCGGGAGCCGTCTGCTCTTGATTTCACAAAACTCCGTTATCCTACGGGAAATAGGAAACCGGTTCGTCATATTCAGGCGGACGGGTCAAAGCAAACGTTCACAGATGCTCGGCACCTGCTAGAGCAGAAGAAGAGTGACCGATTATCAGAGTCGGCTTCTACTTCAAATTTTCAGGACAGTTTGCGAAATGCCTCGATGAGGCCAACTCAGTCGTACCATGAGAGTCAGTCAGGCGGCACCTCCCGTCAGTCCGGCTTTCATAGTGCCCAGGCGGTACCAAACTTGCCATTTGTGCCGCAACAACAGTATTTTATGCAGCCACCTCCATTTGGTGGACCTGCAGCAAAAAACGTCCAACCTATGGACTGGCAGCTACGGCTGCTTAGACTTGGTGAACAGCCGTCGGCCTTCTCCAAGGAAATTACTGAAGCCGCTCAGCCGGCCAAAGTAAAAAATATTCTAGTAGGCGCCTATGACGGCACTACTAACCCAGAAGACCATCTGATGGCATTCACCAACCTGATGTACCTTCAAGGGTTGGATGACCCCACCTGGTGCAAGTGTTTCCCAGCGACTCTCAAGGGAATCGCACAGCAATGGTTCGGCAACCTGCCGACTGGTTGCGTAAACAACTTCAGGACGCTTGCTTACTTATTTGCCTCCAACTTCGCTATGAACATCCCTGCGAAGAAAACGACCCTTGATTTGGGAACAATTCAGCAGGGTGAAAAGGAGGGGCTTCGTTCCTACATCAGGCGGTTCAACCTGATGAGAATACAGATTCAAGGGTTACCGGATGAGGTAGCTTATACTGACTTTTTTAGAGGTCTCAAAGACGGGTCTACCTTCAAATTTGATTTAGTTCGAAAAAGGGTGGCGACTCTTCAAGAGGCCTTGATTGAAGCAGAAGCCTATATACAGGCGACTGATCTGTGTACGATGAAACAGTCGGACGGGAAGAGGTTCGACAATAGAGAGGGACGACAGAAACAGTCGTCCAACAAAGATGAAAAAAGAAAAGAGGTCTGGGCGGCTGATTCCCCTAAACAGCCGGCCCAGAAAAAGAAAAAAGAATTCAAACCATACTCCCCAAAGTATGTGTTTAACAAGGATAACCAGTTTATCCTAAAAGAAATAAAGGGACGGCTCTCAATTGAGAAGCCGCTCCCCATGAAGGGTTCTGCGAGCAACCGGAACCAAGACAAAATCTGTGCTTATCATGATGACATTGGTCATCACACCAATGACTGCATCAGTCTCATGCGGTACCTAGACCGCTTGGCTGATCAAGGTGATCTTGACACTTATGTCAAGAAATCTACGGGGAATACTTCCTCAAAAAAGCAGTCGGCCAAAAAGAATCAACAGGCCGACAGTTCCGATACAGATGATGCAGTCGTCTACACCATTGCAGGCGGCTTCTCAGGAGGCGGCCCCACTATTAGGGGCAACAAAGATAATATAAGGCGGTTAGATGTAAATTCCGTTCACCAAGAACGACCGTCCAAATATACCTTTCCTGAGATTGTCATCACTGAAGAGGATCTAGGAGGAATAAGAGGGCCGCATGACGACCCTCTCGTCATTGAATGTAAAGTGGCCAACCAGAGAGTTGGCCGAATCCTCATAGATACCGGGAGCTCTTCAGATCTCATCAGCAGCAAATGTCTGTCAAAACTGAAATATCAGACGGACTGCATACATCCGGCCTCCCACCCTTTAATAGGTTTTGGAGGAGGAGTCGTTCACCCCCTGGGACGAGTGGATCTACCCATTCGCCTGGGCGAAAAAGGGGAAGGACGACACATGGTAGTCCGGTTCCTAGTGGTAGAGGAACTCTCGGCCTACAACATGATTCTGGGTCGACCAACCCTGAATAATTCCAAGGCTGTTATAATCCCGTCACTTATGCTGCTTAAGTTTGAAAGGGATAATGGAACAGTCGGC